ACGCTCCCCTTCCCCGCTGGCCGCTGCGGCTGTTTCTGGCCGTCCGGGTCTCTGAGGCGTGGTTCCCCCTCACCCCTGCAGCTGACGAGCCAGGACAAGACCCCGACGGTGATCCAGCGGGCCATGGCCAAGCACAGCCTGGACGCGGACCCCGCCGAGGACTACGAGCTGGTGCAGGTCATCTCTGGCGACAAAGGTGCCCTGGGACCCCTCACAGCCCGCCTCTGGCCCCCCCGAGACCCAGGTCCCTCAGGGCTGGTTTGCGGGTGTCCCTGTCCCATGGGGGCGTCTGCACCCGCCGCGTGGACCCAGGCTGAAACCGTGGCCAGGTTTTCTTCCCTGATGTTTGGGTTTGAGGGGCCTCCCGGGCAGTGTGCGGGGGGCCAGGTTGGTCACTGAGGTCCCGAGGGTCCCTGGGGGATGCCGGGGATTAAGGCAAATTAAAGCACAGAGAGGGCCTGGGTGGAATGGGGTGCGGGCTGCACGCAGGAGGCTGGCTTCCACCCCTAGTGCTCCGTGCTCCCCTGAGCATCGCTGGGAACCCCCGTCCAAAGCACAGAAAGGAAAAGACGGAAAAAGGAAAGAAAAAAGAGAAAAGGGCAGAGGGGAACGGAAACACACACGTGTGGGTCTGTCCTGAGTTCCCAGGGAAGGAGGAAACCGGGTCCCCTGAGCGGACAGCCCCTCACCAGCGCCCCTGAGTGGGCGCAGAACTGAACTGCACAAGGCAGGGGGTGGGGGCTCTCAGAGGCGCCCTCGTGTGGGGCCAGAGGTGAACTACACACAGCAGGGTGGTGGGTAACTCACGGGCGCCCTCGTGTGGGCACGGTGGTGAGTTACATGAATTACAGCAGGGTGGTGGGGAGCTCTTAGGGCGCCCTCGTGTGGGGACAAAGGTGAATTGCACACAGCAGGGAAGTGGGGAACTCTCACAGGCGCCCTCCTGTGGGCGCAGTGGTGAATTACACACAGCAAGGTGATGGGGAGCTCTCAGGGCGCCCTCGTGTGGGGGCAGAGGTGAATTACAGCAATGAGGTGAGTAACTCACGAGCGCCCTTGTGTGGGCACAGTGGTGAACTGCACACAGCGGAGAGGCGTGTGCTCTCCTGTAGTGCCAGGGATGAAAGGGATTCCCGTCTACCTGCCCTTCGCATCCTCTTTGAGCCTCTGGGTTCAAGTCTGGCTTACTCTCTGTGCTTAGCTTTGGTGGGGTGTCCGGAAGTGGGGGCTGGGATTGTTCTCGGTGGCCTCAGTTCCCATTTCAGGGTGCAAGGAGGGTGGGGCTCATCCTCACAGGGCACTGACTGCTGGTCCCCCGCCCTTTTCCTCAGAGCTGGTGATCCCCGACTCGGCCAACGTCTTCTACGCCATGAACAGCCAAGTTAACTTCGACTTCATCCTGCGCAAGAAACTGGTGCCTGAGGAGCCGGTGAAGTTGAGGAACCGAACGAGCCTGACCCTCCCCAGGACCTCCAAGCGGGGCTGCTGGGCCCAGCGGCACAGTAAGATCACCTTGTGAGCGCCCAGGACACCCCAGACTCCGCACCGGGCCCTGCGGCCAGGGCAGAAAGAGACGCCCCCGGATCCGGCTGCGTGGATGGGAAAGGCCCCCAAGGAACAGGAGACAGCCCGTGGGCCACAGGGCAAACCCACTTTGCACAGAACCCAAGGCCATGGGGACCGTCTGGGCAGCAGAGGCAACTGATGGGCAGCATGAAGGACCACTTGGGAAGGGTTTGGATGAGCCCACGCCTTCTGCTTTCTGCGCCCACCCCCTATTCCCAGGGTGGAGAGGAGCCGGGGCCTGGCTGAGCACTCTGGACCGGGTACCCAGGCAGCGGCGATACCCCCCCCCATACACCCACACGCCCGGGAATTGAAAAACGGCACTGCCGGGCGAGGAGGTAGAGCCGAGACTTCTGGACGCTGTTGCCTCCCCTCGGGACTACGGCACCCTGGGTTCCGCACCCCGCGGCTTCCCCGGACAGAGCCCCCAGCTGCACGCCGGGCCCCCTCCCCACTCAGCGTTCCCGGAGGGCCTCCCCGGGTGCCCCATGCCCCGTCCCTGTCCGGGTTCCGGCCCCAGCCGTGCGGGCGCCACCTCAAAGCCATATGTGGGGCCCAAACCCGGGTAAGAAGCACTTTCCGAATTTGTCCTTTTTATGAGAAAAGTAATCTCGAAGTACCAGTTTTTATTCCAAAAATAAAAGGACTGAGGCTACGGAAGCAGATGTGTGGTTGAGCCGCCCCTCCCCCAGCCCCGTGCCGGAGGGCGCCCCAGAGGGGGTGGCTGCAGGACCTAAAGTCTGGCGGAGCACAGAGCGGGAGGAGCCAAGATCACCCCCAGCCCCGTCTTTCCGGGGGTCCACCCCGTATTGCAGGGTTCAGGGTCCCAGTCGGGGGACCAGGGCTCCCCTTTGCACCTTGAGGAAGACGTTTAGGGGTGCTGGTAGGGCCACTGTTGGTTCAGCACTTCTTGGTCGAGGGGGACCCACATGCCCTGGGTCTGGTTCGTGTCACACGTGTGCCAATACATGCAGTGCTGTGGTGCCTGCCCAATGGCCTGCCTCCATGCGCGCACACGCACTGGTCCCTGGTGGACGTTCCAGGCCTGGGTCAGTGAACCCCCTCCCCACCGTTTTCCCTTGGGCTCGAGAAAAAGCTATTGTTGGCCTCACAAGCATCTCAGCCTGCCTGAGTGCACTCACGAGCCTCAAGCTACGATAGAACTCCCCTCCCCCACACTCCAGGGGACTGTCTGTAGCCTGCCCTGCCCTCGGACCCCTGCCTGGAGCAAGCCATTGGGCCCTCTGACCCCTCATCCCGAAATGCCAGCTGCATAAACCCTCCCGTTGGATGAACATAAACTACCAAAGTCTTGATCTGACAATTTAATCTTTGCCCCGAGCTCTAGAAGGCACATCGGGTTCTACCTCCCCCACAGCCATACACAGTCACCCCACAGGGGAATGTGGGGTGCAGGTAACCCAAACCACCGCTGGAGTAACTAGGGTGCACGCACACATTGTCCAGGAGGGGGAGTTCTGGCACAGGTACAAGAGTTGCCCCTGGGGAACTAGGGTGCAGGCACACGTGTTGTCCAGCAGAGGGAGCTCTGGCGCAGGTACAGGAGTCGCTCTGGAGGACTAGGGTGCGGTTACACGCGCTGTCCAGCTGAGGGAGCTCCGGCGTAGGTACAAGAGTCACCCCTGGGGGAACTAGGGTGCTGGCACACGTGTTGTCCAGCAGAGGGAGCTATGGCGCAGGTACACAGTCATCCCTGGAGGAACTAGGGTGCATTACACGCGCTGTCCAGCAGAGGGAGCTCTGGCGTAGGTACGGGGTCGCCCCTGGGGGGACTGGGGTGCAGTACTCGCATTGTCCAGCAGAGGGAGCTCCGGCGCAGGTACAGGAGTTGCCCCTGGGGACTAGGGTGCAGTACTCGCGTTGTCCAGCAGAGGGAGCTCTGGCGCAGGTACGGGGTCGCCCCTGGGGACTAGGGTGCAGTACTCGCGTTGTCCAGCAGAGGGAGCTCCGGCGCAGGTACAGGAGTTGCCCCTGGGGACTAGGGTGCAGTACTCGCGTTGTCCAGCAGAGGGAGCTCCGGCGCAGGTACAGGAGTTGCCCCTGGGGACTAGGGTGCAGTACTCGCGTTGTCCAGCAGAGGGAGCTCTGGCGCAGGTACGGGGTCGCCCCTGGGGACTAGGGTGCAGTACTCGCGTTGTCCAGCAGAGGGAGCTCCGGCGCAGGTACAGGAGTTGCCCCTGGGGACTAGGGTGCAGTACTCGCGTTGTCCAGCAGAGGGAGCTATGGCGCAGGTACACGCGTCACCTCTGGGGGAACTTGGGTGCAGTTGCACACGTTGTCCAGCAGAGGGAGCTCCGGCGCGGCGCCTGCGTTTTCTGAGCTCACGTCTCCCTCAGGGCTTGCTCTGTCCACTCCAGGGCCCAGGCACTGCCCAGCAGGCCGTATGTCCAGCAGAGATGCCCCCACGGTGCCCCCCAGCCTGTGTCAGGCTGGGCAAGGTCCCCGTGGCAGCTTTTCAAATCTGTGCAGGGTCCAGCCAGGGGCGCTGCCCTCCCCGACCAGCAGGGGACACCAGGCCAGTGTTTTCAGTTCTGGAAGATTCTCGACTCTGGACCGGGGCCGAGGCCTCACAGAACCGCCTCCGGACGCCCATCAGACCTGCTGACAGGGAACAAGGGGGAAGGTCCCCCCAGAAAAAACACACCAGACCCAGCTTCCTCCCCCACGAGAGTCCTGGACATCCCACACGCATGGGGGAATGTTCTAGAAAAGCAGGAGTGAGCCTGGTCTCGTCTACGCTGTCAGTCCGGGATTCTGCCCCCTCCTCCCGGGGGCCACGTCCAGGGGCTAGTAGCAGGAACGGTCAACAACAAGCTCAAGGTCAGAGTGGGGGTCAAGGTCGGGACCTGGGAGGTCAAGGTCAAGGTGGGAGGTCAAGGTCAGGGAGGGGGTCAAGGTTAGGTGGGAGGTCAGGTTAGGCAGGAGGTCCAGGCTTGCTGGGGGGCCTGGGGGTGGGACCCCTGGGGCATTTCTGGAGGCCCCCGAAAGCCAGACCATGACTCTCCTGCCCAGCTCCTGTTACAGTGCTCAGAGCCGGGCCGAAGAGTTTGATAGGGACTCTGCAACCCGGAGCTGGGGCGCTGGGCTGGTGGCTGGGCTGCGACGGCCCCTGCCCTCCTCCTCCGTGTCAGCCTCATGAAGAGCCCCCCTGGGCGCAGACAGCGGGGGCCTCTCCCGAGAGCAGGTGGGCTTGGTCTCGGATCACTGCATCGTCCCTCAGTGTGGCTGGTCCCGGGCCTGGCCCCCCTCTGGGGAGCAGGTCTGCCTGCCCGAGGGAGGAGGCACAGCCGGGGCCACGCTCCCCGCAGAAACGACCTGAGCACATGCAGGGGTGCTGGCTCCGTGCCCCGAGCACTGAGCCGGGAGTAGCTCAGCACCCGAAGAGGTCGGGGCCACGCTTCGTCTGCCGGGCCTCAGAGCTCGCCCCGGGCGGGCGCAGTGCCAGGCCGCAGGGCCTCCGTGTTCTTGGCGGCGCCCCGCAGACGCCCCTTCCACGCGTGGCCGCGGTCCCAGTCGGTGGCGGCCGTCTCGTTGTCCCAGATGGTGGACGTCTCCGTGTCGCTGAGGTAGCCGGGCTGGCCCGTGTAGTGCGTCGGGTAGACGAGCAGCGGCTCCGCCGAGAAGGCCCGCAGGTCGCGCCGTGGGTAGTGCTCCTTGTACTCGGCCCTGCGGCGGGAGGAAGCTTCTAGAACCCGGGCCGCCAGGGAGGAGGCGGCGATGCTCGGGGCCAAACCCAGAGCCCCTCCTCCGACTTAGGGTCAGGACCGTTGCTTGCCGTGTCGGGGTCAGCCCTGGGCCTCCCGGGGTCACTGCCAAGGGCAGCCCATGGGGGGGGGGCTTTTATTTATTTATTTGTTTATTTATTTATTGCCTTTGGGTCCCACCCGGCGGTGCTCAGGGGTTCCTCCTGGCTCTGCACTCGGGAATCACTCCTGGCGGTGCTCGGGGGATGCTGGGAATCGAACCCGGGTTGGCTGCGTGCAAGGCCAACACCCTCCCTGCTGTGCTATTGCTCCAGCCCCTATGGATGGATCAGATATTGATCAAGGTGCTGAACTGGGTGATGGACCCAATATTATTATTATTATTATTTTGCTTCTTGGGTCCCACCCGGCGGTGCTCAGGGCTGACTCCCGGCTCTGCACTCAGGAATCACTCCTGGCGGTGCTCGGGGGACCCTAGGGGATGATGCCGGGGATCGAACCCGGGTCAGCCGCGTGCCAGGCCAACGCCCTCCCTGATCTCCTGTTACTCTGGCCCCCTCATATAGGAGCTTTGTCGATGCTCAGAGGTTTCTCCAGAAGCTTCCAGATCATCTCAACAAGCACGCAGCTAACCAGAGTGCGGCTGGGTCTGCACACGGGAGTTTAAAAGCTGCGCTCTGGGGGCCAGGAATGTGGCCCAGTGGGCAGCGCACGGGCCTTGCAGGTGTGAGGGCCCGGGTTTGACACCCAATACCGCACAGCCTCTGACCCCTGCCCGGTGTGGCCTTCCCAGCTACAAAATTACAGACGTGCACACACGCGTATACGCACGCATGCATATGTAAATGCACACCTTCAAGGAGGCACATGCATACATACATGTAACACAAATTCATGCACGCAAATACACACGTATGCACCCAGGCACACACATGGACATATATACACCCACAATAGACACACGTGTATGGGTACATGCACACACGTGTGCTCATATGTGCACAACCTCACACACGTGTGCTCATATGTGTGTACCTGCACACGCGTGTGCTCAAGGTGTGGGAACTCCAGGCCCCTCCAGGGAACTGCAGAGAGCTCGGACGCTGAGGGAAGCCCCCGTTCCCGGGCGGGCAGAGATGGAGACCCCAGGGGACGGGGAAGGACACCCCACCCCGGCGGCGCAGCGGGCCCCTGACTCACACGGGGTGCTTGTCGTACATGACGGGGAGAAACTCATCCACGGGCAGCATCTTCCCGAAGGGCTCGGCGGCCACCAGCTTGCGGGCGCCGGCCAGGGAGAGGACGTAGCCCAGTGTCCAGTAGGAGTAGCCGGCCTCCACCAGGCTGGGCACGGCGGGCACTGTTTTTTCGGGCTCCTCCGTCCGCATGCGCTTCCGGCCAATGTAGCTGCGGGCAAAGTGGACACCAGGGGAGGCTGGACCCCCGGGCCGAGGTGCCCACCCCCCGCACCCCTTCCTGCCCGTGGCCACTGCCCAGGGCCCAGAGGGACGCATCGGGCATGGCTGCGTGTGCAGAGGTGGGGGGTGGGCGTGAGGGTTCTGCACGCCCTGACCCCACCCCCCAGGACTGGACGGACCACCCGAGACGCGTCCTCCCGTGGGTCCGATGCCCGGGGGCTGTCCCCGCCCTCCCCGCGGCCGCTCACATCAGCTCCCAGTCCAGCCCCGCCCGCGCCACGTCGTCCATGAGCCTCGTCAGTTTCCTCCGGAACTGGTGCTCGAAGCGGACGTCGTCCTCGATGACCAGGCTCCGGGGCAGTGCCCGCGCCAGCACCTGTGGGCGGTGGTGGTGGCTGGTGAGGACAGTGTCTGCATACAGCGTGCCCTGTAGTGCTGGCCACAGTGCAGGGTGGGTGCTGGGTCCAGCTCCGCCCCCAGTGCTCCAAGCACCCGAGTCTCGTTCTCTGGGTCAGGGTTCCCGTTTCTCCCGCCAGGAACGCATGTCGGGGACGGGGAGGTGGGGCGATTCTCAGGAACACAGGAGGGAGCAGCACCTCGACCCCCACCGGACCCTCCCGGACACTCACTCGGTGCCGGGACCCCTCCCAGGGCTCTGCTGGCCGAGCTTGGGGGTCTCCAGGGCTGGCCCCCAAGTGCCACGAGCCACACGCCAAGGCCCACGGACCCTTAGGGCGATCTCCCGGGCACTGCACCAGAACCGGCTCTCCGGAACCGAGCGTCCAGCTGGGGGTGGGTGGGGAGGGAGCATGACCCCCGCGGGCCCCCCTCCCGCACAGGCTTCTAGAACATTCTGGCGGCCCCTCCCCCCCACTCACCTCCTTCCACACTGAGTAGTGGCTGAGGAAGCAGCCAATCTCCCCCCGCGTGAGGGGCCGGGAGGAGTAGGGGTCCCGGTAGCCTGGCAGCATGTCGATGCTCAGTGCCTTCAGCTGACTCGTGTTGAGTGCTCTGGCGGGTGGGGAGGCAGGGGGCGGCTGTGAGCCTCCGGGATGCTGTGTCCACCCCCCAGGGGGGAGAGGGACTGGCCACGGGGCTCCAGGGACCCCAGGACAGGGACCACTATTCCCCGCCGGCCGGCCAGCCAGATTCTGGGGGATAATTCAGAGGCAGTGACTGCTGGGAGCCTCGGAATCTCAGGGTTGACTCCTGGCTCTGTGCTCAGGGCTGACTCCCGGCTCTGTGCTCAGGGCTGACTCCCGGCTCTGTGCTCAGGGACGACTCCCGGCTCAGTGCTCTGGGCTGACTCCCGGTTCTGTGCTCAGGGCTCACTCCTGGTGGGGCTCAGGGAACCGCAAGGGGTCCTGGGGACAACCTGAGCCAGCTGTGTGCAGGGCAAGTGCCCTCCCTGCTGTCCTGTCTCTGCACCCCACCCCCAGCTGGTTTGCTCTTCGGGGGAGGCACATCTGGAGATGCTCATGGCTGACTCCTGCCCAGGGGTCCGCAGGGAGCTGGAAGGAGGGGAGCAAAGCCTGGGGCCCCGTCCCCAAGCCAGACGGTGCGTCCCCATGGCTCCAAGGACCAGCTCTGCCCCCCGGACCACTCACCTGAGGGAAGCCCCCTGACCCCCGATCTCCCGGCAACCCCCAGCCCAGCAAAGTGCTCACTTCCCATCCACGGCCTCCACGATCTTCACGGCGATCTCCTGCTCGTACAGTGTCCGCAGCATCCGGTCCCGTCGGTCCTTCCTGCGCTTAAGGTTGATCATGAAGATCTGGAACAGAAGGAGGTGGCTGAGTCCTGCAGAACCCGGCCTTGGCCCCAGGAAGGGGTGGAAACGGAACTGCATGTAGGGCGAGATGTAACGGAACTGCATGTAGGGAGAGATGTAACAGAACTGCATGGAGGGAGAGATGTAACAGAACTGCATGGAGGGAGAGATGTAACAGAACTGCATGGAGGGAGAGATGTAACAGAACTGCATGGAGGGAGAGATGTAACAAAACTGCATGCGGGGAGAGATGTAAGGGAACTGCATGCGGGGAGAGATGTAACGGAACTGCATGCAGGGGGAGATGTAATGGAACTGCATGCTGGGGGAGATGTAACAGGGAGAGATGTAACAGAACTGCATGCAGGGAGAGATGTAATGGAACTGCATGCAGGGAGAGATGTAATGGAACTGCATGTGGGGAGAGATGTAACGGAACAGCATGCAGGGAGAGATGTAATGGAACTGCATGTGGGGAGAGATGTTTCTGCTCAGGGTGGGAGGTGGGGAGCCACAGAATTAAGGCCTTCCCCCACTCTGACTTTGGATCCACTTATTGATCCTTGTCATTATTATGATTGTCATTTAGGGAACAAGGTCACACCAGCAAAGGAACCCAAGGCCCGGTCACTTTGAGTCCAACCTTTCCCTGCACCCCTGCCTTTGGCAACCTCCCTTAAGTGTGCTGTGTCCTATATGCAGAGTGAGTGCAATCACCCATTTTTATCCTTTGCCCTCTGACTTATTTCTCTTAATATGACTCCCAGCGATGCTCAAGGCTGACTCCTGGCTCTGCGCTCAGGAATCACTCCTGGCGGGGCTCAGGGAACTCTGGGGATGCTGGGGATCGAACCCGGGTCGGCTGTGTGCCAGGCAAACACCCTCCCCGCTGTCCTATTGCTTGGGACCCTTTTCTCTTTCATTATCCTGTGTCAATCCCCTGGTAAGGACCTATGCCCCCTTTTCCCTGCCATGGGGGTGGGTCTTTGGTCACCCCAGAAGACCCCGAACCAAAACCAAAACACAGAAAATAAATGTGTGCCCCCGGCCCCCCAACTCAGGGCCCTGCCCTGTGGAAACACTTCAGTAACAACCTCGCCCCAGTGTCGGCCCAGACAAGGGCCATTAAAATGGGAGCCGTGAAGGAAAAACACAGACTCGGTGACCAGTAAACAGGGCACCTGGCCCAGATGCCACCCACGAGGGCAAGAGCTGGCTGGACCCGGAGGGCCCAGGGAGCTCTGCCTCCACCCTCCGCTCTGGTCCCTGCTCTGACAATGCCCAGAGGCCAGTCAGTGACTGTCTCCAAGAGCTTTCCTGAGCCAATCCCTGCACTAGAAGCTTCTAGAAGCGTCTGGAAGCTGCCAATCGACCTGGAAGGGGACAGGAGTCTGACCAGCTCCGGTACTTGTACCCACAGCGGGAGCATCAGGGCCGCCAGCCCTGCCGCAGCCCGTTTGTCTCCGAGCACTGTTGACACTCTGGGCCGCGTCCCTCACCGGCAGGTTCCTCTCCCCGTCCCACCACAACCCACAGCCGCTCCCGGTAACTTTCCACCTCATGCCCAGATGGAGCCCTTGGCCTCCCGGCCTCACACCCCCTCAGGCACTGAGTGCAATCCCACACAGTCACACACACACACACAACCACACACTCACACACACACAGTCATACAGTTATATGCGCACAGTCACACACAACCACACACACTAATTCAATTATACAGTTACACCCTCACACACAACCACATACTCACACACAACCACACACAATCACACACATTCACACACACATACAATCACACACCCACGCATTCACACACACACAACCACAGTCACACCAGTCACACACAACCACACACTCACACACTAATTCAATTATACACAGTTACACACTCATATACAACCACACACTCACACACAACCACACACACTAATACAATTATACACACTATCACACAATCACACACACAACCACACACACTCACACACAGAGTCACACACATTCATACAATTATACACACAATCACACACCCACACATTCACACACACAATCACACACATACAATTACACACAATCAATCATACAATCATACACAATGACACACGATCACTCAATCACACATTCATACACACTCATACAATTGCACACACAATCACACACATTCACACACACTTCATACAACTACGTACACAATAACAGTCACACATACAATCACACACACTCGTACACTCTCCTTCATACACACTCATACTCAGAGACTCACACATTCTCAGACACACTCTCATAAACACACTGACCCACTACCCCCTCAGACACTCATACACATACACAACACTGACACATGCATATACACCCTCATACACACTCACATACACACAGAAGACTCACAGCACACACACACACATCCGCACACTCCGGCCCCCTTATGCCCACACACTCTCCCACGTTCCTACCTCGTCAAACCCCATCTTGTCGGGGGTTTTCGGGGTCTCCGACACGAACTGGGAAGGCTCCATGGGCGGGTGGTCGACTGGGGAACAAGAGCGAGGAGAGGGGGTGAGTCGGGGCCCGGGGGTCCCACTTCTCGGCTGTGTGGCATTTGTAGGGGCTGGGCTGTGACCAATAAGAAAAGCTCCTACTTAGAGCCGGCGTGAGAGCACAGTGGGGAGGGCTGCACATGGCTGACCCGGGTTCGATCCCAGGCATCCCATAGGGTCCCTCGAGCCCCGTCAGAAGTAATTCCTGAGTGCAGAGCCAGGAGTCAGCCCTGAGCATCGCCGGGTGGGACCCAAAAAGCAATCAATCAATCAATCAATCAGTCGATCAAGAGTGATGAACCAGGGACCTGGGCAATAGCCCAGCAGTAGGGCGTTGGCCTGGCACACGGCCGACCCGGGTTCGATCCCTGGCATCCCACAGGCCTTGGCCCCAATTCGTGGCCACCGGGCGAGTTGAACCAACACGGGGCTGTCTTTCCTCCACACACAGGCTGGACTTTGTTTACACGCCGCGGTGTCGCCCCAGGCCAGCTAGAAGAACTTTCTGGAAGTCCTGAGAGAACTCCCATGCCATTCCAGGGCGTTCCTTCTGCCGCTCCCCAGCTAAGTATAAACACCCGAAGGAAACTTAGTCTCACACTCCCTGCCTCCCGTCCCCATGACTGATCCACACGCACACAAAGGCTTTAAGCTTCTGTTTCCCTATTTCCGGGAGCAAATGCTGGGGTCTTTGGCAGCAGTTGGGCTGTGCAGGGGGCACTTCGGACCATGCAGGGGCCGCCCCTGGGCCTCACACACGCTGGGTACAAGCTCTGTCCCCTGAGCGACACAGTGCACACACCACTGTGTGCACTGTGTTGCTGATGGCAAACTCTGAAATGCATTTGGCCTGATGGCAAACTCAGAAATGCATTTCCTGGCACTTCCTGGGCACTTCCTGTGAGCTTCCTAGGAATTTCCAGGACACTTCCTGTGGGGTTCTTGGGAATTTTCAGGGCATTTCCTATGAATTTCCAGAGCATGTCATATGCATTTATTGTATGTCTTGTGTACTTCCTGTGTACTTCTGGGTGATTTCCAGGACATTTCCCGTGGACCTCATGAGACTTTCCAGAGCATTTCCTGTTCATTGCTTATGCATTTTGTGCTACTTTCTATGCATTTCTGATGCATAGAAATTCCTCTACATTTCCTATGTATTTCCTGGGAATTTCCAGAACTTTTTTCAGTGTATTCCTGGGATTTCCAGGACATTTCCTGTGTATTTCCTGGTAATTTCCAGGATATTTCCTGTGCATTTCCGGAGAATTTCCAGGACATTTCCGGTGTATTTCCAGGGCATTTCCTATTTATTTCCTGAGAATTTTCAGAACATTTCCTGTGTATTTTCTGGGAATTTTCAGAACATTTCCTGTGTATTTCCTGGGAATTTTCAGGACATTTCCCATGAATTTCCAGAGCATTTAATATGCATTTATCTATTATATTTCTTATGTACTTCCCATGTATTTCCTGGGAATTTCCAGGACATTTCCTGTGCATCTCCTTCTCATTTCTGGAGAATTTCCAGCACATTTCCATAGTATTTCATGTTTATTTCCTGGAATTTACCAGAATATTTCCTATTCCTTTCCTGGAAATTTCCAGAGTCTTTCCTGTGCACCCGGGAGCGGCAGGAAGCTCCCCGGGCAAGGTCTTGTCCTATTCCTATGCCATGTTCAAGGTCAAGTGAAGGCCGTTGGCTTGCAGGGGTAAAGGTCACTCACTCATGGCTTCTATGCGCACGTGGATGAGGCTGTCCAGGTCCTCCTGCAGAGTCTGGTGGGGCTTCAGGGGGATGGGCAAGTAGCCGAAGTGCTCCTGGTTGCAGAGATACATCTGGATGCCTGGGGCCGAGAGAGGGCAGAGCCAGCCAATCAGAAATCAGAGAACCGAGAGAGGGGCAGAGCCAGCCAATCAGAAATCAGAGACCAGAGAGAGGGGCAGAGCCAGCCAATCAGAAATCAGAGAACCGGGAGGGGGCAGAGCCAGCCAATCAGAAATCAGAGAACCGGGAGAGGGGCAGAGCCAGCCAATCAGAAATCAGAGAACCGGGAGAGGGGCAGAACCAGCCAATCAGAAATCAGAGAACCAGAGGGGCAGAGACAGCCAATCAGAAACCAGAGAACTGAGAGGGGGGCAGCATCAGCCAATCAGAAGCCAGAGAACCAGTGCAGGACGCTGAGACCTGGCCACGGGTCTCAGAGCTGGACCTTCACTAGAAAAGGGAGGGTCAGACCCATAGCACAGTGGGGACAGCTTTTGCCTTGCACCTGGCTGACCTGGGCTCGATCCCTGGCACCCCCCCGCTGGTCCCCTGGGTCCCACCAGGAGTGGTCCCTGAATGCAGAGCCAGGGGTAAGCCCCGAGCACGGCTGGCGTGGCCCCCAAACCTCAAAAGTCTAATTAAAATTACAGAAGGGAGCCAGATCGGACCAGGAAACAGCTCAAAAGGCTGAGCACGTGGGTTTTGGGTTGGTTTTTTTTTTTTTTGCTTTTTTTTTTTTTTCTTGGTTCCCACCTGGCGATGCTCAGGGCTGACTCCTGGCTCTGCACTCAGGAATCATTCATGGTGGGGCTCGGGGGACCCTATGGGATGCCGGGGATCGAACCTGAGTTTTGCATGTGGGACGATGGGTCCCCCAAGCACAGACCAGTGTGATCCCCCCAGCATAAAAGTGAAACAAATTTAGGGACCAACCTGACAGCACAGAGCACAGCAGAAAGGGCACCTGCCTGGCCTGCGGCCCACCCAGGTTGGACCTGCATTTACTTCCCTGAGCACTGCCAGGAGTGAGCCCCGAGCACCATGGGGTGTGTCCCCACCAAAACAGAAAAGAAAAATGAAAACAAATATTCAAAGGGGCCCAGAGCTCTGCTTGGCAGTGTGTGTGTGTGTGTGTGGGGGGGGGGGGTCCCTGCCTCTGGGCCTTGAATCTGAACCTTAATTGAAAAGGAAAGCTCACCAGTGTGCGTTTCCTAAAACCTGGGGGCAGAGGAAATACCTTTCTTCTTTCTGAAAAACAACGCCTCAAAGCGAACACACACACACACACACACACACACACACACACTAGGGGAAGAAAAATCTCAACGGAAAGCCAGGCTTCCCAAGAACAGAATGGAATTCAGGGCACCTGCAGGAAACTGCAAGGAAATGAGGAGCAGATTTTGAGCTGGAAGGAACACAAAGAAAGTGGCAACCATCTGCCCCGACACAGGTAAGGTTCAAACTCTGCAGAAGCAGAACGGAACCCCGGCCCGGGCTTTATTCCTTCTCTTCCCAGGCAGAGATTCAGCATCAAGCACGAGGCACAAAAGTCTCCTTTGAGGGGCTGGCGTGATAGCACAGTGGGGAGGGTGTTTGCCTGGCACGCGGCCGACCTGGGTTCAATCCCCGGCATCCCATAGGGTCCCCCGAGCACCGCCAGGAATGATCCCTGAGTTCAGAGTCGGGAGTCAGCCCTGAGCATCACTGGGTGGGACCCAAAAGGCAAAAACAAAAGTCTCCTTGGAGGAAGGAGCAAAAGCCAATCTTGTGTTTCAAGCTGGGAACCCGCAATCTGGCCACCCTGAGTACTCAGCGTCCCCGTCCCACAAGCAAACACCGTCTGCATGCAGTGAGGTTCCACCATCGTACCCAGCCGGTCAGCCAGTGTCGAATTAATCCACCACTGACAGTCCCAGGGAATCGAAGGTTTCTGAGTTCCCAGGCTGAGTGTGCCAGCCCTGGGCGGCACATCCAAACCTCTGATAGAAACTGCTGGAACTGCCCCGTTCCAGGGTGCATTACCTGCCTGGGACAGCCTTGTAGCTCCAGACGACATTTCCTGCCGTGAGAGCGCTCACCTGCCAAGCCAGGCCATGCTGTCTCAGGCCATCAACGGAGATGAGTTGGGGGAAGAATGGGAGCTTTTGTTTGTCCTCGATCTGATGCCCAAGGACGCGGGGGTGATGGGGTGGGTAAGGGCGGGGGGTGGGTGGGAGCTCTGTCCTCTGGTCTTATCCGAGAGAGCCCCCCCCCACCAGTCCCATGTGCTCTTTGGGGGAACTTCAAACCAAATTGCTTCCTGCAGAGGAATTTAGGAAGGCATGCAGGAAGGTGTGTCATTTGGACCATCTCTGTCCTTGGCAGAGAAATGACTTCTCTGCGTCCCTTTCTAGGGCTTCAGGATTTGTCTGGGTTGGAGAGATAGCACGGCGGGGAGGGCACTGATCTGGCATGCAGCCGACCTGGGTTCGATCCCCTGCACCCCATAGGGTCCCCTGAGCACCGCCAGGAGTGATTTCTGAGTGCAGAGCCAGGAGAAACCCCTGAGCATCGCTGAAAGTGGCCCCCCAAAAAACAGGGGAGATTCATCTGGATGGTATTTGCAATAATGCCAATTATTGACTTGCATTCATGATTACAAACACAGTTAGTGGGATGGAGCGATAGTACAGTGGGAAGGGCGTTGGCCTGGCACACGGCCGACCCAGGTTTGATCCCCGGCATCCCATTGGGCCCCCTGAGCACCTCCAGGAGTGACCCCAGAGCACTGCCAGGTATGCCCTCCTGAAGAAAACCCCAATAATACAAATACAGTTTAATGAGGCACCTCCTTGCCGCCCCACAAAGGCAACTGCCAAGTTAGCCGTGAAAGGGAATCACAAAAACATCCCGTTGGAAATCAGATTCTCAGGCTCTTGGGGATAAGAATCTTATTCCCCCGGGATGGTCTTAAATGCCCAGGGGACCGCGCATGGGTGGGGCATAATGGGGGGGACTGGGAGGAAGAGGAGTCGCACAGATGCAGACGAGCACAGAGAGGGGAGGGAAGAAGCTGCAGGGAGAGCGGGAGTCCCCGAGAGTATGACCAGCATTGCCACCTCAGGTCTGCGTGTCACTGTAGACTCTTCTAGAACCTCCAAGAATCTTCTAGGACTTCCTAGAACCTTCTGGGCTGTCTAGAATCTCCTAGACCCCTTTAGAACCTCCTAGAACCTTCTAGACCCATCTAGAACTTCCTAGACCCTTCTATGCCCTTCTAGAACCTCCTAGAACCTCTAGAACTCACAGAGCCTTCTAGAACCTCCCAGAACCGTCTAGACCCTTCTAGAATCCTTTAGACCCCCCCAGAACCTCCTAGAACCTTCTAGTACTCCTAGAACCTTCTAGACCCTTCTAGAACCGCCTAGAACCTTTCAAAATTCCTAGAACCTTCCAGAATTCCCAGAATCTTCCAGAACTCTTAGAACCTTCTAGAACCTCCCAGGGCTTTCTAGAACCCCCTAGAAACTTCCAAGAACTCCTAGAACCCTCTAAAACCTCCTAGAACCTTCTGGACCCTTCTAGAACATTCTAGAACTCCTAGAAGCTTCTAGAACTTCCTAGAACATTCTAGAATCTTTGAAGCCATATCCCAGCAGAGGGTAACAGCCCCGGGGCTGCTGGGCTGGGGGCGGGGACGTAGCTCTGCACCCTGGGGGCAGGCCACCTTCATCCAGCCACCTTCGGGGCCCGATGACTGCAGCCCTAGTGACCCTCTGGGTGACACAGGGGTCGGGGGCCGGGGCCTACCTGCTTGCCGGCTGGAGAAGGCGAAGACCATGATGTCGTCGAAGGCCCAGGTGTAGTCAAGGTGGGGCGGGTAGAAGGCCAGCAGGTCGGACGCCTCCTTCCGGAGGTCCACCAGGAAGGTGGAGTGGACCATGGGGACCGCGAAGCAGCCCGTGCGCCGCCACTCCCGGATGGGCACGTAGTCGGGCGTGCGCTGGTAGAAGCCCTGGGGGCGGGGCGGGGGTCGCTGGAGGGAGCCGTGGGGCCCAGACCCCCGGGCTCCGGGGACGGCAGCCTCCTCCTCGCGCCGGGAACCCCCCTTGGCCCCTAAAGGCAGGCCCAAAGGCCGCTCTGTGGGACGCGGAGTCGGATTCAGGGACTCAACTAGGAGGAGGGTTGTGTGGGCACGGCTGGACTTTGTTCAGCTTAGACATGGAGCTGTTTGTGACTATTATTATTATTATTATTATTATTATTATTTGGATTTTGGGGTCCCACCCAGCGATGCTCAGGGCTGACTCCT